TGTGTGTGTGTGTGTGTGTGTGTGTGTGTGTGTGTGTGTGTGTGTGTAATTTTGCCCCTTGGACAGTGCTCAGGGAAAGTGTGGCTTAAACCCTGTGAAGCCATTAGTTTCTCATTATCCAGGCTACCAGTCATAAGTGATCAGTAGAAAATAAAGTTGCACTTGAGCACACTTTAGATTGACTTTTAAAAAATGTTTTTTTAAAAAATATGCAGAACCCCATTTGAAGTCATTGGTTAAATATTTTCTAAAACAATTTGAAAGTCTTCTTTCCTCGAGTGAGAATTGTTAACCTTCTTGGCTAAGAAATAGAGTTTTAAGAAGAGTCGGGCTTACTGAGAGGGCAGGAACCTCAGTATGAAGCACTATATTCTTTTCAATTTAGTTTCTCAATCAATTTGCCTTCCAAACAGTACAAGAAAATCACTAGTTGAAATAAATACTAGAAATTATTCACTTTGAATAAATCCTTCCTAACCTCACACAGGTTGATACTTTCCTTTTTCTATTTTCTTTGGTTGGTTGGTTGTTCTCAATACATCTGGAGTGCAGTTTCCCTTCTCTCTGCTCCTCCCAGTCCCCCACGCTCGGTCTCCTAGATCCACTGCTCCTCTGCCTCTCTTCAGGAAAGAGCAGGCCTCCTAGGGATACCATCCAAACACTGAAAAACAAGATGAGAGGAGACTAGGCACGAACTTTCATATTAAGGCCAGATGAGACAATCTAGATAAAAGAAAAGAGTCCTAAGAGCAGGCAAGAGAATCAGGGACACCACTACTCCCACTGCTTGGAGTCTCACAAAAACATCAAGCTCAACAACCGCAGCCTGCATTCAGAAGACCTAGGTCATACCCATGCAGGCTCCATGACTGCCACTTCAGCCTCTGTGAGCCCCTATGATCCCTATGGGCCATGTTCTTCTGGTGTTTAAAAACCTTCTGGCTCCTACAATATTCCTCTCCCTCAAGGGCTCCCTGAGCTCCAGGTGGAGAGAATCAATAAATACCTCAAATTTGGTCGCTCTCTCTCTCTCTCTCTCTCAATCTCTCTGCCTAATGTTTGGCTAATGTGGGTCTCTGCATCTGAAATGCCCTTTCTATTTCATCTCAGTGAAATCTGTTGTCCAAAGGGCCTGCTTGTGGCAACTATCTTGTAGCCCCTCCTGCAGTTTCCTCTGAACAATCTATCAATATGTTTTAAAGGAGCATCAATCTTTTATAATAATTTCTTTATTTAGTCAGAATAAAATTGATTGTTTTGTGCAAAAGATTGAAGGTTCTCATAATCACTGGCCCATTTAGGCTGTTCTCTCTCTTTTGCATGCCACCCTGGTCCATGTTAGCATTTCACTTTCTTTAAACAATTGTCGGAAAAAAGTAAATGCAATAAACAAGTAAGTAAAAACACTTGAACAGACAGAGGAAGTATTCTGGCTTGCAGCTCTGTTAATATAAGCACGTAGGTTGGAAAATTGGTTCTTTGGTTTAGTTCAACTTGGCAAATATATGTAAAATGTAGGTCATAAAGAAGCACTGTGCCTCTGATACTAAAAGAGGCAAGGATAAAGAAGGAATGCATCTTGCCTTTCAGGAAGGGACATTGAGTACATAAAAAAACGATGAGCATGAACTATAACAAATGACACAGATCAGTTCATATTTGAGGAGTAAATGAGCAGAATACCATTGGAGCAGAGATGATAAAGCTGTCATTCTCCATTAGGCGTATTGAAATAGGGCTCATCAAAGAAAAGGCTTTCAAACTAAGCCTCCAAATGATGCAATTTCAAAGGGAAGAAATGGCAGCAGACAAGACTCTGTGGCACAAAAAAAAAATTACAGAATGAGTTTCCTGGATTTGTAAAAGGATATAACTCAAAGCAAGAGGTGTAAAGAATTCAGTTAGTCTAGCATTTCACTCTCTTTGAACAATTGTTAGAGAAAAGTCTGTGCAATAAAAATATGTAAATAAAACATTCTTAGGTTTTACTACCATACCCTGCCTTGAATAGTGAAACTTTTTGTATGAGAGAAAGAGAGAGAGAGAGAGAGAGAGAGAGAGAGAGAGAGAGAGAGAGAGA